TTTAATAATGTTATTTTGTTTACTTATTTGAAATTTTTAGTTTTAGGTTATCACAGGGTATCCACGGATGCCACAAGATTTTGTTTCTTTTTTTTGTGATATCCTGCTCTTTAGTAAAAATAAATCTCATCTTATCTTATCTTGCTAAATGTTCATTCATCGTTGTACACAATTTTGTCCTTGAGATATATGGACCAGCAAAGTGTTTGAACATTTAGTCGACTTCTCTGTTTTCTTGCTAGATATGAAGCAGTTGAAAATGCAGACTCGGGTGGTACTGAGGTAGGAGACGTAGAAAGATATTTATAGGCTAGTGCTTGAAGAATAGGTAGACTATCGCCATGTGTTCGCCAAAAATCGAGAGTATGAGGAATTTTGCCTTTACTAGTCATCATATTATAGGTTTCAATTGCCAATAAACTATACAACATAAGTTCTTCACGTACAGTTAATATCTTCGATGATGCATTTGGCTTAGTTTGGCCTAGAGATCCAAGAAAATCGAATAGTAAATTGTCGCCCTTCTTCACAGATGTTTCATTCATTTTTTTGGGCATAGGTGTGACCACAGTGATGTTGTTGTTGTTGCTCGAAGAAATGATTTCTTTTTCTATTAACTTCTTGTCATCATCTGCGAGCACTGCATAGCCAAGAGGATCGAAATAAGCAATGAAAAACAATAACATTCGTTGTTCTCCATCAGACACAAAATATTGTTTATATTTTTCATACAATGCAAATTTCAATGAATTCACAGCATCATCATTCGATATATCATTCTTGAGATAGGATTCAATTTTTGCCAGAGAGAAAATGCATAAACCCATAGATGGATCTTTTTGCTTACTCATTAATTGAGTTGCCAAATGAAAAGGTGTAAGAATAGAAGACAAAATTTCCAAAATGGTATATTCATTCTAGCTGATCTCTAGCTCATATAGTTTTCGTCGTTGATTGCTAGGCAAATTGAATTCATAGCAGGTTTTGGCAAATTCTTGAAGAACGAGTTTATGTTTGAGCACACTATTGATCATATAACTGGTACTGTTCCATCTTGTAGGACAATCGGATATGAGACTCTTGTTTCGAAGTGCTTTGAATGTATCTTTTTCTTTCAGTGTATTGATATATTCTGATAGAACAGTCGACGTTTTGATGGTGGCAATTAACTTTCTCACTTTCACAAGAGTTTTTCCAATCACCTTCTGTTCAGACTCATCATTATATTCACTGCCTTCTGTGAGTACAACCCATGGATCATTTGGATCACATTCATTGAGCAGGTCTTCATCACCACCACCACATTCATCATCATTCACACACTTTTCATCTTCATTTTCTTTCTCCTCACTCTCTACACCCTCCTTCTCTTCATCACCACTTCCCACATCAATATCATTTGCATTTATTAACGAACTTGTCACATAATCCATTTCGGCAACTTCATTCTCTCTCTCTTGTTCTTCATCTGTACTTGCCGTCGTATGTGATGCTATTGAACTCTTCTTCGATTGAGAAGTTCGAGAATTCTTTGGCCAAAGACCGAGAGCTGAACATATCATCAAGTGTATTCGAATGGCATCGACAGGAATTCCTTGTACTTTTCGATAGCTATGTTCGATGAGAAATTCACAGAGAACATTGAGCGACTCTTGTTGGTTTGAGTATGATGAATACTCTGTAATCTATTCTGCTGTTATAAAATTTATTGAATACTCTCAACGATTTAACAGCTAACTTACTGTGCATATCCCTTATTTCTTCCACTCCTTTTTTTTTCTTCTATTTGCTCTTCTTTCTTTTTAACTTTCCCTTCATTCTTTTTAAATGATAGTTTTTAGTTTTTGTTGTTATCCCATTTGTCTATGTTGCATTTCTACAGATAGCCAGATACAACGCTTTGCGATTCCTAACTATCTGTGATGCTTATTTCAGCTAACTAATAAATATAGATTAAACTAACTATAAGCATTTTCCTAAGAGCCCCGATTTCGGCCAGCTGACCTTGGATCACTCCAAAAAACCTGCTGGAAATCGAAAATATCTGAATCAAATCGTGTTGGATAGCAAACATGAAAATACTTTTAGTACTTCTCATTTTGACAAAGGTAATAAACAGCATCAATTGTTAGACGATTAAATACTGCAAGTCTG